CGTCGCAAGCACCTGTTCAGTCATTCTCGCGTGGCCCGTGAATTGCTTGCTGAATATCTTTCGGATTGTGTAATCCTTCTTTCCCCTGAAAAGTAGCCTTAAGCATACAGAGAGGGTTTACGGTTTAGGGAGAGTTATATCTGTGTGCAAGCCCAGATGCAAAAGGGAGAGTTCTAAGCCCAAGTGCGGCTGGCTCGTAGGTCTCTTGAGCCTTCTTAAGGTTCAGGGTTTAGGGTTCACCCTAAACCCTAAACCCTAAACCGCTTTGGGTCTAGTTCCCTGGATGCCTTTCAAGTAATAAGTTGTAGACAGTGCAAACCAATCAGTGTGTGTGTGTGTGTTTTTTTTTTTATTCTTTTTTTTTATTTTTTATAGCATTTGTACAAGTCTACCTAGGCTTATTACATACAGCTAGGTATTAAGCTGGATTTTCAAAACAGTCCAGCAGAGTCTGAAACACTGAAGGCTTCACAATATCTGGGTTGAAAGTTGTGAAGAGGGTAAGATTTCTATTCCCCTATCGTGGGGGTTTTCATCAGTAGGAGTCCCCAAATGTGGACCCCCAATATGCAGCCTCTGAAAAAACACATTTTGCTCACTGCAAGCCCCCATACCCGACGCCGTTCAGCTTCAACATCCGCAGCATCCGCTCGAAGCAGATTTTTCCAAGCCTTCGCAGTGATCTTTGGGATGTTGGGTTTGGGTTGTAGGGCCCGACAGTTGAACACAGACATGCTTACACCATTCATGGCAGCATTTCTCTGTTTGAGGATGTGAGCTGCTGCGTTTCAACGTTGTTCTGTAATGGAACGTAAGCCCTCAACCCTGAACCCTAAACGTTACCACCACCCTCAAGCCTAAACCCCTAGCTTCTTCAGGGCACTTGTAGTGTACGACCTGAAGTGTTTTTCATATCAGACATGCCTGCCACCCCAGCGTCAAATGTATCAGTACAACGCACCTCAATTGGGAGCCAGTTGCAGGGAAAGGATCAAATTATAACCAGGCAATATCCTATTCCATGTCCCTAAACCCTAAACCCTAGACCTTAAACCCTAAACCCCAAACCCTTCCATTCTTGAGCAGGCCAGGTCTTTTGCTAGCATGCTCCGCGTGGTCAGGATTTCAGGGCAGGAACTCCCCGCGGTCAGCATGAAGGAGATTCAGTTGTTTTGGGTTTAGAGTTTAGGGCTCAGGATTGAGGAATTTAAGTTCGGCTACCATAATATGGCACTTTTTACATCTTAGCCTTTCCTTCTGACGATGACTTCATTTCAGTCCTCAACAGCAATCCAGGAGATTTCTGTAGTTGGCGACTTGAAGCGAGAACTACGCAGGTTGCATGGCTTTCCGCTTTGCATGCAGCAGTTGCTGCAGAGCGGCAACATCTTGGATGATTTTTCCGAGCTAGATGCTCCGGCCGAATTACAGCTTGTCCTGCTGTCATCGCTTTCCTCGGCTATACAGCAGGGAAGGGCTGATTCGGAGTTTGTTGATGCTTGCGCACACGGCCAGCTGGAGACTGCGCGTTTGTTGTTGGAAGCTGGTGCCTTAGCCGGTGACAGCCTACCTTTTTCATAGCTGAGCTGAGCATTTTTTTTTGTTGCGGTTTCTTCTGACAGCCACTGACTGTATGAGGTACAGTGGTTTTCATGACCTAGAACACGCCTTGTAGCAAGCTTGCGAGCCACATCCACAGGTGTTGACATCGACTGCGCGGATTGCGAAGGCCAAAGTGCGCTCACATGTGCAGCTGACTGCGGCCACGTGGTGATTGTGGAGTGGCTGCTTCAAGCAGGCAGGTAGGCAGACCCAAACGGGCATAGCATGGGTCCCCAGACTCTGGTTCCTATTGTGATGTGAGTCCCTATGTTGGTCTTCCCCCCCATTTGAAGGAATAGTCATTTAGGCAAACTTCCAGGCGCCAAAGTGGACATGGCGTGGGGTTGGCTGAGCAGGACAGCCCTCATGCTGGCAATCGACAATGGCCACCTGCAGATTTCCCGGTTGCTTCTGGAAGCTGCGGCCAATATCAACTTGCGGGATGGCATTGGCAACACAGCTCTTCTCTTCGCAGCTTTCCAGGGCGATGTGGAGCTTGCGAAGCTGCTCTTGGAGGCTGGTGCTGACGAGGAGCTGGTGAATTTCGACGGAAAGAACTCTCTCATGCTGGCATCCTCCTGTGGCCACGTAGATGTTGTGCAATTGCTGTTGGAAGCCGGCGTTAGCCGAAACATGAGGGATCAACAAGGCCATACAGCGCTCATTGAGGCAGCTCGCAAGGGCCATGTGGCAGTTGTGCAGTTGCTTCTTGAAGCTAGTGCCGACAAGGACACGTATACCATCTGGGGCAAAACAGCTCTCATGCTTGCAGGTGAGCAAGGCCATGCAGAAATATGCCAGTTGCTGTCGTCTGCAGGTTGAGAATTGCGGCTTTGTCAGGGTGTTTGGGAGGAGGCGCTGCCGGCAACCAGTTGGCAGTGGAAAGGCAAGTTTTTCACCCATGGCTTACTGGTGATGCGTAGGGAGCAGGGAATATAATCCTATATTCGAACACCGCTACATGGGTGGTTGTCAAAATGATGGTCCCTTTTTGGATCCCCATTATCATACGGCACCTAATATTTAGGGTACCCAAAAACGGACCATACTTTTGATAACCCCCTATATTCCCTTCTTCCCTACTCTCCCCAACAAGATGGGCCTCGGGCTGAGAAAAACTCTCAGGACCCTCGGTTGAGGGATCACGTTGTGGCCTGCAATTTGACTAAGCCCCATGTAAGGTCCAGGGTTTAGGGTTTAGGGTTTAATCCCTTCCCCTAATAGTAACCCCTGAGGGTTCAGGCTTATGATCCTCCCCAGTATGCACCCCTCCCTGCAAACTACGGAGGCCTAATATGCCCTGGTTTGCCTGAATTAATCGTCCTCAATCACCCTAACAATCCCTGAATTCGTGGGGCCCATATGAGTAGTATTTTATTTGCTGATATTATGGTACCCAATATAGAGTAAGATTGTATCCTCCTTTGGGGTATAGTATTTTATATATAAGGAATATAATCTCCCTAAACCCTAAACCCTAAGTAGTAGTTTCCATTTTCTTTTCCATTATCCCTATATAACCCTAACATATCCCTACTATAACCCTAATATAAACATAATCTTACTAGGTTCAACCAACAAAAAATCCCACTACTCATACGATCCAGGGCTTTCGGGATGCCGTTTGCAGAACCCTAAACCCTAAACCCTAAACCTTAAACCCTAAACTCTAAACCCTAAACCCTAAACCTTGAGGGTTTAGGCTTTCGGGTTGCAGTGGTTATTCAGGGTTTAGGGTTTAGGGTTTCCCTAAACCCTAAACCCCTGAAACCGTCTAGGGTTGAGGGGTTCGTTGGGGTGTAAGGGTTAGGGTTCTTTGGGGTTTAGTTTTTTTTGGTGTAGAGGTTAAAGTTTTTTTGGGGGGGTGTAGGGGTTAGGGTTCTTTGAGGTTCAGGGGCTGGGGTTCTTTGGGGTTTAGGGTTCTTTGGGGGTGTAGGGGTTTAGGGTTCTCTGTGGCGTAGGGGGTTTAGGGCTCGTTGGGCTGTAGTGGTTAGGTTCCTTGGGGTTTAGGGGTTTTTGGGGTTTCTTTGGTAAAGCCTACATACAAGGGCTCCCCACATCAGGAGCAATTTCGGGAGTTTAGGGAGGCCTGAGGGCCGTCTCAGGGTTAAGGGTTTAGCAGATGGGCCCCTAAGCCCTAAACCCTACACCGCATAGAGCCTCCAGCACGAACTCTTGCCCAGGTCTCAAGGCTGCAACACTTTCAGGGAATAGGGCTTCTAATCCTTCTTGGGACAGTATAGACGTAGCTCTATATTAGTTAGAGGGTTATGATAGTGTAATGACTCAGTATGCTCTCAGGCTTAAGGTAGGAAGTAGATCTCAAACAGCTCCTGGATCGCACTTTTTTGGAAACCCATCTGTTCACTCTGCGTCCTGGATTGCATGGTTACAGCAACTCCCCTCCGCTAACATAACATGCACCCCATACAGGCCCTCCTTTAAATTGACAGTAGTCTACACATGGGCTTGGAAGAAAACAGTAAGGGCGGCCCTACTTGGCAGATCCACTGCAAAACGACAAGGAATACAACATACCGATAAGGTGTTATCTTGTGCAAGATTAGCATATGGATTAAGGAGCACCCACTGCAAATCGAAAAGGAATCAAAACATAAGATAAGGTTTCAAATATAGATACGAGACTCCGTGGTAGGGTTTCCACGCACGCCCACATGAGAACAAAGGCTACATGTTAGTTGGGTGAGCGGAAGTGCAGCATGATGAGCCAGCACGCGGAGGTTCCCGCTGATAGGGGCCCAGTCTGGGACTCTCTAGGCAGTTGTTAATCACCTCCGCTAATGGTTGCCCCCCTATCCACCCCCTACTAAGAAATTTGCACCATTCGATAATTCAGAATGCGTTCCTGGGTGGTTTTATTTGGGGGATGAGGGGGGGGGTAGTATTAGGGGGCGGGATTATTCACACGATGACAGGACTCGAAGAGCGCAGCAGCTCGTCTAAAACCTGACCGGCTCCTGCTACTGCTTCGCATCACTGGGCATTCTGTTTTTCAACAAGTTTACTCTGCTCCCTGGCGTGCATTCTGGCCTGGTTGCAGCTATGCTTCGCAAGCACATGCCTGGATGTGTTCGCGCTCCATCCATGTAAGGGCTCCATGCGCAACTTGACGCGATGCCGCATGCTCCTGACCTCCGTTCCAGCTTTGAAGACAGCGTTTATGTCCTTGGTGATCGTGCTGCGCAAGACCTCTTGACCTGCAACTTTGGTAATTGACCGCTTCTATCCCGGTCCACTTTGCATCAGCACCGGCATGATGGCATCCATCTTCTTCATGATCATGAGGCCGATGCACGTGTGACAGCTGTTGCCTGGGAACTGGCAAGTGGCTGGGTCGTCTTGAACAGCGGCATTGCAGCGGTGGGCTGGCTGTTGCAATGCCTGCGAGGCTAAGCAGGTCAGACATGTTCTACATTTGGATGGCCCGCATCATTGGGCTCACCATCAGCTGCATGATCATGTGGGATCAGGGCCTGATCAGCGTCACCAGCACTTTTACCGAAATGGTCAATGCCAACAAGTTTACGATCATCGACATTGAGGGCTTTGGCTTGCATTCCAAGGCATTGAAAACAATTCAGCTCATGGGCGGAAGCCTCGCAATTCTAAGCGGCGTTAAGTCACGTCAGGCCATCCAGCAAGAGGTGGAAGAGCGAACGTCCTGGCTCCCCAATGCTTAGACAACCATCAGAAAAAAGCAAGGCGTGATTGTGCTTCGAAGCAGTTTTTGCAGCGTGCTATCCGGCACAGGGAGGTCCCTGAAGCGCGGCGCAAGTACATGAACAATTTACTGCCACTGCTCAAGCCATCAACGCATCTTACACTAGTAGTCCCTGATACGCGCGACAAAACCCCCTCGTTTTGCGCAGTCAGCTCAATAATTCTATGCAAAAGAAAATCCTAAACCCTAAACCCTATTGAGTGTGGTCCTACGCTGCAGACAGGCCCAAGGCTCCCTCCGACCTATGACCGACTCTACTTACGGGTGCTTAAGGCAGAGTGGGGGCGTGGATCGTTATATGTCATCCTACAGAATTCCCATATCCACCCCTATAAGGGTTTAGGGTTTAGGGGTACCCATATTCACGCCCCCCCACCCCTCCCCCAAACCCCAAACCCTAAACCTTGTATTCACTCCCCACTCCCCCTTAAGCACCTGGTAGTTTCAGGGTAACTAGGGTCCCTGCAAGCCATGAGCCTTAGATGGGGTTTAGGGTTTAGAGTTGAGGGTTTGGGGTTGGGGTCTAGGGTTCAGGGTTTAGAGTTTAGGTCTCTAGCCTAAACGAAAGACCAGAAAATTTCAGCCTGCAGAGCCCCAGGCCCTACTGCACAAAAGCTCCACCAAATCCAAAGCCAAGACGCACTAAACACCATGCTGCTTTTTCGCCCCAATTCCTCACCCCAAAGGCAAATGCATCATGCAGGAACTATTTTTTATTATTGGGGTTGTCTTCTTCTGCCTTTGCCTTTCTAGTTTCAGTATGCGGTACCCAAAGAGACAATGTGACAAAAGTGAACCCAAAACCCAACTCTAAACCCGAGACCCGTAAGCCGGCTGTGACCCTAAACCCTAAACCCTAAACCCTAGTCATCTTGAGGCGGACGCGGATAGGAAGCTGAAGCCCAACGAGCTCGTCGACCTTCGGGAATGGATGCGGAAGGACGAGGGGCTCGGGACTCAAAAAGCCTAAGCCCCAAACCCTAGACCTGTTTAGGGTTTAGGGTTTAGGGTTTAGGGTTTAGGGTTTTAGGGTTTTAGGGTTTTAGGGTTTAGGGTAAACCCTCGACCCTAGCCCCTTTTTCAGGTCTTTCAGAGTGGATTCTTTGTCTATGGCTCTGATGTAGCAAGGAGTTCAAGCTGAGGCGTCTGAAAGATTAGGGGTCGTGTGAGCTTGCTATGGGCTTGATTCCTCCCGGTTGTACAGGCAGAGCCTTCCCTGGCTGGGCCGACCCCACTGCGCAACAGTTGAACAGTAAGTGTTTATATGACGATCAAATGCTATCAACTGCGTATGTAAATGTTAATCCTGCGACAGACTGTTACTGGGGCAGTACCCAAAACAGCGCATGCCATCCGTTTGTTTTGGTTTCAGCCCCATAAGAAGACCTTCCTTCCCACCTCCGCCCCTACAGAAATTATTCCCTTCACATGACATATCACTGTACAGCCTTGACTGCCCCAAAGCTAAACCCTAAACCCCAAACCCGATACTACCCTAAACTCCAAAGCCTAGGGCCCCAAACCCTAAACCTGAAACCCTAGACATAAAACTCCAAACGCCAAACCTTCGACCCTACACCCCCAGAAGATGTCAACCCCCGAGCTTGGGCTTGAGATGGCAACTTGCTTCGGCCAATCCATCTAGGGTTCAGGGTGTCTGGGTTTAGGGCATCTGGGATTAGGGCGTCTGGGTTTAGGGTGTAGGGTTTAGGGTGTAGGGTTTAGGGTCTAGGGTTTCGGGTTTAGGGTGTAGGGTGTAGGGTATTGGGTTTAGGGTATAGGGCATAGGATTTTGGATTTCCTCTTCGAGCATAACCTTAAAGAGTTATTAAGCATGATGTTGTCATTATAGGTCTAGGAGGATTACAGATTCAAGTATTGCCCTTTGTTGATTACCCAGTGACGATTGTGGTTCAAGAAGTGCTTAAGGCCAACTAAGCATTCTTTCAACTCAACTTTTTTTCTGATTGCTGGTTGCGCGCGCTTCTTAATACATGCGCGTAGGTGTTCCGGAAATGGTTTCTAAATCCAGAATACAGAATTTCCTAACTTCGGAGCTTGTTGTGCTTCTCGTGATGATTTACGTTGATTCCCAACCTTGTTTGATTGTGCTGCTGACGCAACATACCCAAGCTGGCCCCAGTAGGATCTGTCCCTGTGTTTTTGTGGTGGCATGGATTGCCCTTCTCGCTGGAGCCCTCCCACCCGCGTTTCTCTGCAAGAGCTTCTGGACCACTTTTTGCTGGAGCTGGTTCGCAGAGGGCTAGGTTGGCGAACTTCCTGAAACGTCTTAGAAACCACGACATGAAACTACGCGACTGCGGGTGGGTTTTAGAAGTCGCGTTTTTACGGCTGGCACGGTCGCTGCTGCTATGCTGGGGGCGGGGTCGGGTAATTGCTAATGATTCGAAATTATCGCGAAACTACGGTTTCGGAAACATTTCAGGCCACGGGCCAATAAAAAAGGAAAAGCAATTGCCTGCGGCCATGGCGGCCATTGAGATTGCGGAGCTGTGGGGCGCGGACATAATTACTATGATTCCCCTGTTTGAGTCTCGTAAAACTGAGATTGATGCGAAGTTCCCACCACAGGAGCCTCCCACCAAGAGAGGAGCCGGCTCCAGCGGAGCCAGCCCCCAAAAGGGCGCGACGAGCATGATGGCAATCGCCAGAGAAAATCATCAGATGCTAGCTTCGCGATCCACATCTGCAATTCAGGAAATCCATCAAAGCGGAGTAGAAACCAGATTAGCTATGAAACATGGGGGGCTGCCTGTGTGGGGCCACCTGTTTATCTCGTGTTGTCGAATGACGGCCATCGCTACGACAATTGGTGGCGTGATCGTTGTCTGCTCCTTTGCTTGTATCATTAGCTTGATCTGCCTGACGTTTCGGATGTTCATCGCATAAGACCATCAGCGTGATTTCCAAACTCAGCTTGAAGGGTAGGCTAGGCTTACAAATTACACCGCTCACCTTGGACGGCGAGGGCCCTGAGTGGGGTGGGTTCCATCTAGGAGAACCTTCGAGGAGTTTTTGATATGATCCTTTTCTTAGGCCGCACGCAACGGTACCCTCATCCCGAGAGATCCGAAGCCCTTAAAAAACTGACACCCTGATCCCTGAACAGAGCAAAACCCCTAAAATCTCACGTGCTAAGCCCTAAGCATTGGATCCTAAAGCCTTACATCCCCAAAGTAGGTGGGGTCCTTAAACCCCACTCGGTATAATCACTACCCTCAGGCGCCATTCTCCCATCCCTCGGCTAAGCATGGGTCGGAAGAGCCGGTGCGAAGTATTTTGATTGAGGATATTGTCGTCCCCAATGCACGCTAAGATTGCATCCTCCTCTTCTGTCTATTGTGCTCTGCGAGACAATGGTAGGTTCCAGAAGTAGGGGGACCCCAATATAGAGCCCAAAGCACTACAGTCCTTATTATGGGGGCCCCCGCAAACCCCAAACCCTAAAACCCTAAACCCTAAACCCTCCTCAGCCTCAGGTCGGGTCTCAGGCGTATGAAGTGCAAGGCCCAGAGCGACGGCAAAGTCGGTTGGGTGACGGCTGTGGGCAACACCGGGACGGTGCCCTGGACCAACTTCAGTATTGGGTTTAGGGTTTGGTGTAGGGATTTAGGGTTTAGGGTTTAGGGTTTAAGCATGGGCCCCCCTCCTACCCCCCCCAGGCTCCCCCATAAGTAGTTACTGGCCTTAACTAGCTTCTCACTTAAGGGGGAACCTGGTGTGGGGTAATATAGGGCGGCGGGGGGTGGGGGGGGTTCCCAAAATTAGGGGTACCTCTTTGGGGATCCTTAGAACAAGGATTATAGTTTATTGGGATCTATATTGGGGTCCCCCCCTAAACCCTAAACCCTATACCATAACTCAAGGCGTAGGAAGGACAGGTCCGGAAAACTCTTGCCCCTTGTGTTTCAGTCTTTATCTTGGTAGCTTTCAACCTTTCACATAGCCTTGGGTAGTATGGTTACAAGGTGAAGTTTTCTTGGGCAGGGGGAATTCAGCTAGAATATAACTACCAGTACTCAGATTTCTGAACTAGGAGATCCCTCGACCCTAAACCCTAAACCCTAAACCCTGTACCCTACACCCTATGGACCTTGGTTGTTTCTTGGGATGCAGATTTCAGTTCTGGCTGCGTGCTGATCAGCTGAGCAGTAAGGATACCCTAGAGTTTAGGGTTTAGGGTTTAGAGGCTCAATGTAGTAAAGCTGGCCTAGACCCTAGACCCCATGAATTTCCTGGGTCCGTACCAAGCACTTTTTTTTGGGAGAAATGCCAGAAGGAAGTATTGAGGAAGCTCATGCAACGCAAGGAGGCTTGCGGGTTGAGGGTTACAAACGCTTCAAAGCTTCCAATCTGAAACTCCTAGACCTCCGGATGAAGGCTTGTGCTGAATCCCGAAGACAGCCTCATTCCCCTTTGGGGCTCCAGGTTTCTACCACCTTATTGATCTCTTGAGTACTGCTGAACCTGGTCTGAGCCAAGACACCCTGAATCCTAAACCCTAAGCCCCAAATCCCAAACCCTAAACCTAAATCTGAAACCCTAAACCCTAAATCCCAAACCCTAAACGGCAAATCCTACACCCTAAACAGGCCCTAAACATAAAACCCTGGTGAAGCCTCAGGTGTTTGTGACGCCACAATGAGCCTAAGGCCTGCCTCCGGGGCCAAGGGCCAAGTCCCTGCGAGAAAAAATTGGGATTGAGGGTTTAGGGTTTAGGGTTTAGAGTTTTGGGTTTAGGGTTTAGAGTTCGGGTGTATGTGAGCTAGAGTCTAAACTGCTCCAAGGAGATTAAGGGGGATACTAGGAGTTTTGACGAAAGGTCATGTAAGAGTCATAAGTCTGGACCCTAAGGGTTTAGGGGGTTTTGGATTTAGGGTGTATGTAGGAGTCGTAAGCCTAGACCCTAATAGGGTTGCTGTGAAGGAGCTTAAATTA